TTCTTGCTATTGCGCAATATTGTGCTATTGGATATTTCTTGCTATTGCGCAATATTGTGCTATTGGATATTTCTTGCTATTGCGCAATAGAAGATTTCTTGCTATTGCGCAATACTGTGCAATTGAAGATTTCTTGCTATTGTGCAATACTGTGCAATTGAAAATTTCTTGCTATTGCACAATACTTATTATATAATAATTTACACATCCTGTTTGGTGTGTATCTCCTACCATATCATTATTATTTGCTTTTAAATATAAATCAGAAATAACCAACTTAAAATGGAAAATTTTAAAAGGAAAAAAAAAAAAAAAATCCCCCCCCCCCAAATTTTTTGAACCCCCTTATGATTCATCACCCCCAAACTCAATCCCAGCCTTCCCTTTGTGGTATGGTACCTTGCAGTACAATTTCAGAGAGATCCATACACTAAAACACAAGTTATTGTCTGGAAACTAGAAAAATGTGTTTTTTGGCCCCCAATTCCTAAACGTTTCAGGCAATTACCCCCAAACTCAATTCCAGCTTTCCCTTTGTGATATGGAACCTTGTAGTACAATTTCAGAAATATCCAAACACTTACACACAAGTTATTGTCATGAAACTAGAAAAATGCTTGTTTTTTGCCCCTTTTTTGGCCCCTAATTCCTAAAATTTTGAGGCAATTACCCCCAAAATCAATCCCAGAATTCCCTGTGTGATATGGAACCTTGTGGTACAATTTCAGAGAGATCCATACACTTGAACACAAGTTATTGTCTGGAAACTAGAAAAATGCTTATTTTTGGCCCCTTTTTGGCCCCTAATTCCTAAACGTTTCGGGCAATTACCCCTAAACTCAATTCCAGCTTTCCTTTTGTGATATGGAACCTTGTAGTACAATTTCAGAAAGATCCATACTTTTTCACACAAGTTATTGTCATGAAACTAGAAAAATGCTTGTTTTTTGCCCCTTTTTTGGCCCCTAATTCCTAATATTTTGAGGCAATTACCCCCAAAATCAATCCCAGCATTCCCTTTGTGATATGGAACCTTGTGGTACAATGTCAGAGAGATCCATACACTAACACACAAGTTATGTCTGGAAGTTACAAAAATGCTTATTTTTGGCCCCTTTTTGGCCCCTAATTCCTTAACTGTTGGTACCATAACCCCCAAAATCAATCCCAACCTTCCTTTTGTGGTATTGAACCTTATAGTTAAATTTCATAGAGATCCAGTCACTTAAACTAAAGTTAGAGTGCGAAACCAATGTGTCTATGGACGACGCCGGACGACGACGACGCCAACGTCATACCAATATATGACTGCAAAAATTTTTGCGGTCATATAAAAAAGAAACACATTGCAATACACTCAGTAAAACTCAGTTTAAAAGAAGTCCGAGTCCGATGTCAGAATAGGTAACAAAAGAAACTAAGCAAAATGACAATGATTCATAAATGAACAAAGGACTACTAGCAGTTACTGACATGCCAGCTCCAAACCTCAATTAAACTGATTAAAAGATTAGGTCTTCATCATATGAAAATCAAGTACAATCCCTCCCGTTAGGGGTTTAGTATCATACCATCATAAAATATATGAGAAGAACATAACCTGTATCATGCCAATAACTGGTTTTAGAATAAATGTGTTTATTTCCGATGCAAAGACCCTATGATTGAATCAATATTAATACCAAAATATGCCATCCTTAATGATTTTGATGTCAATTTTATCCACATTATAAGTAGTATCTTGTAACGTCCATCCTGTCCCTTGCTTTTTGTAAAATTGCATGTTTTTATATAGATTAAACTGTTGGTTTTGCCGTTTGAATGGTTTAACACTAGTAATTTTTGGGGCCCTTTATAGCTTGCTGTTCGGTGTAAGCCAAGGCTCCGTGTTGAAGACCGTACTTTGACCTATATTGGTTTACTTTAATAAATTTTGACTTGGATGGAGAGTTGTCTCATTGGCACTCATACCACATCTTCTTATATCCAATAAAAGTTTGAATTGTTTTACATTTGTGATTTCAGGACCTTTTATAGCTGACTATGTGGTATGGGCTTTGCTCATTGTTGAAGGCCGTACAGTGACCTATAGCTAGGCTGTAAATTTCTTTGTCATTTGGTCTCTTGTGGAGAGTTGTCTAATTGGCAATCATACCACATCTTCTTTTTTATATAGACAAGATTCCATATACAAAACACTATTTTGCGAGTGTATAGAAATTCAATAAAATCCTATAATTGTTCACACCCTTTCATTACAACTGCTGGAAAATTACAATTAAGTACCATGGATTACAGAAATATAACCAAAAACCTGATATACCAAAAAGAATAGCCCGGTTTATTTCACTCAATTTCTTTCCAAAATTTGTGACCACAAATATATAAATCTGATTAAAAAAAAATTCTGGTAAGTTGTTATTGGGCTCGTTTCTCTAAAGGTCACAAGTTTGATTGTAACTTCTTATCATTCAATACAAATTATGACCGATCTTCAAAGTCACAAGTCCTTAGATTAAACAGAACCCTATAGTTCCTTTCAGCAAGGGCAACTGTAAAAAGCTTATTTCACATGTCAACATTAAAGTGACATGTTATTTCATGCAATGTTTTATCATGGCAAATTTGATATAGGTGAACATATTTTCAAAGCAAAATGTTATTTTTAAGTTGAAAAGAAAAGTGTTTTGATATATTGGCCATGTAGGCAGTGAACCGGCACTACTTACCTGAAGGGAAATAACACTTTTGAAAAGCTATGAAATTGTGACGCATACAACTGAACTGGATACAACATTGGCAGTTTCCATGTATTGATTTACTACTGGCATACTTATGCATTTAGATTTGCATCTCTGGTTGAAATCTGTCTTAAATGTAATAGTATTACTATAAAACTCCTAAATATGTGTTTGTTTTGAAAAAATAATAGTGCAATTTATTCAGAAATTTCCACGTTTTCTTAATTAATACAGGATACCATAATCGTTGTATCTTGATGTTTTAGCCAAAAAAATGTAATTATTGGTTTTGAAATTCCAGTTTTATACAATTTATTCCAATGTCAAATTCCTATTAATCCAGTAAAGTAAAAAGACTTTTAACTTGGAACTAAAATCTTATAGTAGGCATCATGTGATATTTGTGACCTGTACACCATCTACATGGTTTCCACATGTTAACTTCTTTAGTGGGCTAAAATCGATAAAGTACTTCCTTTTAAGTCATGCATGGTAAAAGTTTACTTCTCCTTTGACAATATTATTGCATTTTGAAAAGTGTTTGCTGAGTATTATTAAAATTAAAAAAACTAAATTGTGACAAAGATACCAACTCTGTACATTCCAAGTGTAACGGTATATCAACATGTATTTTTTTTTAAATTATCTTCATTTACCTAAAATATCAAGTACAATTTACTGCTAAAGCAAACTCAATTCAACGAGCATCGGCAGAATGATAAGAGACGTAATGTTGAATGAATTCCCCAAGGAATCTTTTCATCGTTATCCGGAAACAAAGTGTGTTGTAACGTCCCTCGAATAAGAAATCGATTTTGTCAAGTCATTGGGCATTTATTTTCACTCAAGAAAGTATGTAACATTATGCACGTAGGAAAAATAATAGACCCCTGTCACTATCTCTTTGAAAATTGTATTTTCCTTTTTTAAACAATATGAAAACAGTCTACAGAATGTGCTTGCTACTATCCCATTGGAAACAAAAACGATGTTTAAACCTAATATTTCATATACCCGGCCGTAAGCACTTAATCACATGTTCGCCACATGTTTCACGTATGACCGGAAATGATCTGGACTGAACGACAAAAACAATTTTAATAAATAAAAAGTAAATAACTGGACTTCTGTTTCGTGTGAAATGTAACACATAACGATAACGTCATTTTCTAACTTAATTATTACGAAGAACAAAACTAGAATGTAAATAATCACTGATTTACCTGTTTGAACATCTCGCGAGAGTTCATATTTGCATATTGTTATGAAGAATTTATTTACAATAAAGCAGACTACACCATCTAAAATTTGCGTTACGAAATCGGAAACCAAAGTAACGCTACTTTTCTTACACCTGCTACAAAAATAGTTATAGTTCTCGGCAATTTCTTCTGACTATTCTTTTTGATCGATGTTCTTTATTATTTGAAAGCAAAAGTTCGATTTTGCAGGTGACGATTATCTTTAAATCGGGCAGCGTTACGCACTTCTGAAGCAAAGATAACGCTAAGAAACGACATACAAAAGTGGCCAAATAATCTTCAATATTTGTTTATTTCAAGTTCTCTCTAGAGAAGATTAGAAAGCACCTATATTTTAATAGAAATAATAGCATTTGATGGTGGAGCGACAACTTCTCTCAACAAAATACAATATTTTATCACTTTTCTATCATTATCGGAAACGGTCCCAATACCAAATTATTGCCCATATTATAATAATATAATACTGTCATGACCTTGTTCCAATTTAAAAACAAGTGTCTAGGTAGTTAGTATTGGCTGTTGTAATTATTTCTGTAATTCTCTCACAAATTATCCTTTTTCTGACCTGTTGATCATTTTTATTTAATCAACCTGTGGTTTGTTTGATCTCAGTTCTTCAGTCATTTTTTGTCATTGGTCAATATTCTATTATGAAGTCAAATTTTCTTGCTTTCCTCTAAATTTCCTATTGAGACGTCATGAAAAAAGGAGACCATGTCTGATGACGTCACATAGAAAGAACACATCTTTTTGCAGATTATTCGAAAAGAAGGATTTAGTTTTTCAGCATATCATTTTAAAATCATTAAAGAAACAGATTCCACCACCGCATCTTGTGCTATATGATATTTATTCACTCTCGTCAGTTAAATTTTAAATATTTAAAAAGCTCAGCAAGCCTTGCATTCCAAATTCAAAAATTGAACTGTCTTTAGTGGGTAAATATCATATCATACTTGATGAAGTGGTAGAATCTATATTTACCTATACTTACACACTAGTAATTGCCCTATATCTTTCCTGTCCAGCAGTATCCCATATCTGGGCCCTTATTGTTTTGCCTTTAATAACCATATTTCTGAAAGAAATAATGTAACTATCAATGTGTTTATTTTTCTAGATTATATTATTCTACATTAGAACTGACAACCTCAGAGTTGCAATGTGATTGTGATCACTGTAGAGGCCCCTCCACCCTCTGAGAGTGATTTATAACTGAACACCTTGACTGTGATCACTGTAGAGGCCCCTCCCCCTCTGAGAGTGATTTATAACTGAACCACCTTGCTTATGATCACTGTAGAGGCCCCTCCCTCTCTGAGAGTGATTTATAACTGAACCACCTTGCTTGTACTGTAACTTCCAGTCTAAAATTTCTCAATCTAATGACCTTGTGTTCTATCTTTTACTGTGCATTTTACATTTTATTAATTTATAGATTTGCCAAAAATAGTTATCAATAAAATGCTCCGCTGGGTGCAGCTTGATACGACCGCAGAGGTCGAACCCTGAACAGTTGGGGCAAATATGGACACAACATTCAAGCTTGATACATCACTGAATTTGGATTGTGATTAAATATTTGACACAGCACAGGTTTCTGACACAGAATGAATGTGGTCTAAGAACTTACAAAATTTTAATTTACCTATTCAAACCATATCATTATTATTTGCTTTTATATATAAATCAGAAATAACCAATTTAAAATGGAAAATTTTAAAGAAAAAAAAAGGAAAAAAAATCCCCCCCAAAAATTTTTTGAACCCCCTTATGATTCATCACCCCCAAACTCAATCCCAGCCTTCCCTTTGTGGTATGGTACCTGCAGTACAATTTCAGCGAGATCCATACACTTGAACACAAGTTATTGTCTGGAAACTAGAAAAATGCTTGTTTTTTGGCCCCTTTTTGGCCCCAAATTCCTAAACGTTTAAGGCAATTACCCCCAAACTCAAACCCAGCTTTCCCTTTGTGATATGGAACCTTGTAGTACAACTTCATAAAGATCCATACACTTACACACAAGTTATTGTCCTGAAACTAGAAAAATGCTTGTTTTTTGCCCCTTTTTTGGCACCTAATTCCTAAAATTTTGAAGCAATTACCCCCAAAATCAATCCCAGCCTTTCCTTTGTGGTATGGTACCTTGCAGTACAATTTCAGAGAGATCCATACACTTGAACACAAGTTATTGTCTGGAAACTAGAAAAATGCTTATTTTTGGCCCTTTCTTGGCCCCTTATTCCTAAACGTTTAGGGCAATTACCCCCAAACTCAATTCCAGCTTTCCCTTTGTGATATGTAACCTTGTAGTACAATTTCAGAAAGATCCATACACTTACACACAAGTTATTGTCCTGAAACTAGAAAAATGCTTGTTTTTTGCCCCTTTTTTGGCACCTAATTCCTAAAATTTTGAAGCAATTACCCCCAAAATCAATCCCAGCCTTTCCTTTGTGGTATGGTACCTTGCAGTACAATTTCAGAGAGATCAATACACTTACACACAAGTTATTGTCCTGAAACTAGAAAAATGCTTGTTTTTTGCCCCTTTTTGGCCCCTAATTCCTAAAATTTAGAGGCAATTACCCCCAAAATCAGTCCCAGCATTCCCTTTGTGATATGGAACCTTGTGGTACAATGTCAGAGAGATCCATACACTAACACACAAGTTTAATAATGTCTGGAAGTTACAAAAATGCTTATTTTTGGCCCCTAATTCCTTAACTGTTGGTACCATAACCCCCAAAATCAATCCCAACCTTCCTTTTGTGGTATTGAACCTTATGGTAAAATTTCATAGAGATCCATTCACTTAAACTAAAGTTAGAGTGCGAAAACCAATGTGTCTACGGACGACGACGAAGACGACGACGCCAATAGGCATATAAAAACAGAAATACATTGGACAAGATAAACTTCAAAATGTCAGATTGCTTTTGCTTCAAATATCATAATTATTTCTTGTATCCATGTAAATACCTGAGTACCACACTTCAATTCAAATGTAAACCCTTCACATTTCTTTTCTTAAATCTACAACCAACCCAACCTTAATATTATTTTTTTTTACTTTTCGTTGTTGAATGAAACAACTACACAAGGCAAATTAACAAAGAAAAGACAAAATGAAGAAATAAAGTTTGAGGGAGATCTTTGCTTAAACATTCTTTAAAATTATCTAATTTATGTTAAGTTTAACAATGGTCAATGGTAAGTAAATGAAGCGTTTTCATATTTTATATCTGTTTTTCTTTTTTTTTGTATTGATAGTATTTTTTTCACTTCAAATATAAGTTCTAATATCATGAATATGATTTTTCAAGTTTGGGCAAAGCTTTCAATATACACTTCTGGTTAATGTTCAATAACATAATCTTTATCAAAATATTATCTTTTCTCTTTTTTGATTGTAACTGTTATATCAATAAAGTTTACCTTGTAGAGAATTCCACCCCAATAGTTGTTTTACTTTCAGCATCAAATTCATTCCTAGTATATCTAGATAACAGGTTGGTTTTCCCAACACCAGAATCTCCTATCAGTACAACTGTAATATTGGGAAGAATTATTAACAATTTTCAACTAGGGTAAGCTACACAACAGCCTTTGTGGATTTTGCATTTTCCACCTGCCCACAGTGAGCCCACCTGTGCCCACTCTAGCTATATTCTCTTCTTTTTGTAAAAATATTGATTACAAATGCTTATCTGCTTTTATCAATTGATTGTACTTGCAAGTCTTTTGATCAACAAAAGAAATTGCATGCCCATTCCTATGGGTGGGCAGAGTGGACAAGCTAGAAATTTTGCCCACCCAGTGACCACCCCCACTGTGGGCGGGTGGACAAGGCAAAATCCACCTGAACTGTAGTGTATTTATTCCTTTAAATGATCTATTCTATAGTATCCTGATCACACTTTATCATGTTTATAACCTGTGAGAAAAATTTAAACATGGAAAACAATTTAAGATAATTACCAAAAACATTTATGAATTTTGTTCATTGTCATTTAAACATTTCATAAATCATAAACAGCTAGTTTGTTGACTGTTGTTTGTCTTTCAGTCATTTTTGTTTTTTTGCAATGGCATTGGTTTTTGACTTGTGAGTTTGAATATATATCCCTTCCATATCTTCCGTCTCTCTTTTTCATACATGATAAACTTTTTTAGTCACATTTAATTTCCAACTGCTGAAAATAAAATTGAAAATGGAAATGGGGAATGTGTCAAAGAGACAACAACTGACCAAAGAGTAGAAAACAGCTGAAGGCCACCAATGGGTTTTCAACACAGCGAGAAAATCCTGCACCAGGTGGCGGGCTTCAGCTGGCCCCTAAACAAAAATGTGAACTAGTTCAATGAAAATGGGCATCACACTAAACTCCAAAACAACTACTTATTTCATGTTTTGATGATACTTAAACAAGTTTTAACCAGATCTGATCTATCTTGAATTTTACTGACAATGATAACATGGATAACTTAATAAACAAGTTTTTGTTTTGTTAATCGAGCTGTTGGTTTTCGCGCTTGAATAGTTTTACATTTTGTCAGGCCAGGGCCTTTAAAGCTGACTATTTAGTATGGGTTTTGATCATTGTTGAAGGCAATCATACCATATCTTCATTCTTAATTTATAATAACTGTTTTAGTTATGTCTACATCCATGACTTTGTATACATTTCTGAACAACAGTAAGAAGCAATGGATTAATAAAGACTTAAAGGTAATAGATACGTAAATGGGCATCTCATGCATTTTCATGAAATTTTGGAAGCAATCAGAGCATGTGGAATGGTATATGAATATCGAAAAAATAAATAAGTAACTTAAATACTGTTGGAAATACAGTATTTTGATTGTTCTGTAGACAGAAGTACAAATGTAAAGGATGCACGTAAACATAAAAAAAATATTGAAAAATTTAACTTTATATTGCCTTTTCTCAATAACGTGTCCTACGAATTTTCTTTAAAATTTATATGTTATTGCCACTAAAATTTCTGATTTATTGATATGAAAGTTATACAAATGTTATAGGGGGTCACCGAATTCATTTTTGCTGTATAAATCACTCAAGCATCTCTATAATGACTAAAAAGCGTCGAAAAATAAAAATTCTTACCACGACGTCACAATTATTATTGCCTTTTCAGCGCTTTTTCCAAGTTTTACAGAAGATTCAACTATTCATACTCAAAAAACAAATTTGGTGACCCCTATCAATTTTATATCAATAAAAGAACAGAGACCCAATGTCCCCCGCGTTGCACATACTTTATCTATCCAAGGCCAATAACTAAAAAAAGTACTTCTTTTTTGTTCTTTAAAAAATATTTAAATATCTTAGAGAAATGAAGGCTTCAGAACAAAATGCAATGCGATTTCCGTTATAATTAATTTTCCCAGGGCATAATTAACTCGTTAAAAATATTTTATCAGCACTTATTTTAGTAATTCATCAAAGACAATGCTGATATAAACCTATGATATAAGTTTCATAAAATTCTGGCAAGAATTGTACACGAGAGCACTAACAATGCAATTTTCCAAGGGACATTACTCTTTTAAAAATAACTGATCGGTTCCAATTTTCAAATTTGTCCAAGAAATTGATAAAAAACCTATAATAAAAATTTCATAAAATCTGGCAAGAATTGTACACATGAGAGTGCTAACAATGCAATTTTCCATATAATCAATATTTCCAAAGGGCATAACTCTTTTAAAAATGATTGATCAGCACTGATTTTCAAACTCATCATAAAACATTGACGATATAAACCTATAATATAAATTTCAAAAAAATCTGGCAAGAATTGTACACATACATGACATAAGAGCGCTCATAAGGCAATTTTCCATATAATTAATATTTCCAAGGAGCATAACTCTTTTAAAGATAACTGATCGGCACTGATTTTCAAAATTCATCAAAGACATTGCTGTATAAACCTATGATATAAGTTTCAAAAAAAAATCTGGCAAGACTTGTACACATGAGAGCGCTAATGATGTAATTGTCCAAATAATTAATGTTTCTAATGGGCATAACACTTTTAAAAATAATTGATCAGCACTGATTTTTGAACTCTTCCAAGATATTGCTAATATAAACCTATGATATAAGTTTCATAAATATCTGGCAAACACTGTACACCTGAGAGCCCTTACAAGACTGGACGGATGGACGCACAGATGGACACACAGAGGGACGGACAGACGCTTGTTATTTCCATGTCCCCCCAACACGTTTCATGGGGGACAATAAAATGGAAATTTCAGTGACAATAACATATCATTTTTAAAGAAAATTCGTGGGACAGGATTTCGAGAAATGTTAATTTTAAGTCAAAATTGCTGTACTTTATGATATTTACTTGTATTCTATATACATTTGTACTACTTTTTTCTGGATATGTTATTTGCTCTATCTCATCAAGTATAAAAGTTATATATATAATTTTTCGATGCTCATGTGCAGTTCTTCATGCTCTAGTTCATAAAATTCCGTGAGATAATCCATTTACATACCTTTTACCTTAAATTAATGTTCAATGTTACAATCATACTGATTCTCAATTCTGTGATTTCTCTGATTAAAATACTGCATTTATATATCATGTATATATATAATGTGATTCCATCCTTACTTTATAACAAGGAGGTTTTCTTTCTGTTCTGATAAATTGTTAAGACAACCAATGAAATCTGTGCCTCCAAATTTTGGAAGGTGTGTGTACTTAATGCCAAAATCAGAGGATTGAAAAGGTTTTCAAACAGAAAGTAAAACAATGACAGTACACACAGATCAAAATAACCAAACACCCAACTACTCTCTGTCATGAATAGGTAGGTTATAATCTAGGCTGAACATTCATGACATTAAAGTTTGATTAAACATGTTAAACAGCAACCCATCAATTAATCTAAGACCTCTCAATATTTATCTCTGCACAATGTCTACATACCTTTCCATATAAAATCATAATGCTCTTCAGAGGCCATCTTCAACCAATCATGTGATATGTATCTGAAATATATTAAGAAAAAAAGTTATGTCCATAGCAGAAATAGATTAATATCCCAGTCTATGATGCTTATATGGATTACAAATGCAAAATTAAAAACAGGCAGATTTAGAATGTTAAAAGTTGCTCTCTCAGAGATACATGTAAGCATCTAGAAAAAATGGGTGTCAAACACTGAATTCTTATGAATTCAATATTTTAGTCTCATCATGTATGGTACAAAAAAATATACATTCACTGCTGAATTTTCTTGTGATAAGTGATACATAAAATCCTTTAGATAAGCAGAAAAAATTGAAAATAAGCTTAGCTACGCTTATTAACACCAAGAAGAAAAGAGATAAGGTAAGGAACATTGATAGTCACTGTATATAAACGATAACAAAGGTGTAAGATGTCAAGGGGACAGTTGATAGTCACTGTATATAAAAGATAACAAAGGTGTAAGATGTCAAGAAAACAGTTGATAGTCACTGTATATAAAAGATAACAAAGGTGTAAGATGTCAAGGGGACAGTTGAAGAAAAGCTGACATTGCCAAGGCAAAAAAAGATAGAAGTTAAATGGTAAACACTTCCACAAAACACTTCTACATAGTAAATTAAAGACTGAGCAACATGAACCCAACCAGAACCAAGGGGTAAACTCTAATAGGGTCAGAGCTCCTGATAAGAATTTACTAATTAGGGTTTTTACTCCTAATTTTTTATGTAATTGAGTGAAATAGTTTTTTCTTTTGCATCATCAGTTCAAGTTCACCCCTCAAGCAAAGATTCAATTGGGTTTTTAACCTCAATATTCCCAAATGCATTGGGGTTTTTTCATCATGGTTTTAAAATTGAGACATTAACTCTGTTCTGGGTAAAGTTGATTCATTGTCCATACCTGACAACATTTTAAAATGCAAATGGGGGTTTTAAGTGCAATATAGCTCTCATAGTCCTATAAAACCTTTAAAGGGCCTTCAAATTTATGTTGTTTTTTCACTTCTTCATACTTGTACAAATCTATAGCCATGTTAAATTGATTGTTTTGTTTTGAATTGTGGACAAAATTGTTCTTTCAAAATTTCCATTTTGGAGCTTTCATAGGTGAAATCCCCCACAAATATTGACAGTTGCACTGTGTACAGTTAGCAGGTATTATTGTCATGTGTATGATGCATCAATATTATAGTTCTGTGAATGTGTTAAAACAATTAAACATTGATTCATGGACAGGTTTATTTTTACCCAATTTAGTGACATAAACCAAAATATTGTCCATGTTAGCAGCAAAACAGTCACAATGACTTTAAATATATGATCATGATGATGGAAGGTTATTTAACGTCCAGTGTCATTGCACAGGAAGTTATTGCCTTCTCCAAGAGTGAATTAATGATATGGGTGACATTTCTCTATTCCTCAGAATACATGTATGTGTCAGTTTTGAGATAATTTAATAAACTATGTCTTTGGCACAAGAGGTACTTTTTCTACCTCTTCTATTCCATGTTATAAAAAGAAAATGTTATGAACTGGAGCTGATTGTTTATCGGGACACAACATTTAAGCAAGGGAAGAACGATTTAAAGATTCCGACAAGGACCTAGTTCTGCCATTTGTAACTTCTCTGCCCATATCGCTTCAATTACATTTGTGTTAATGTAAGTGAGCGAGAATGCCCGAGTAGATACGATTGCTTTTTCATAGGTGCTCTATTTTAAGAACGACAGTAGAGTTCTTTAAATTACACAAATAGATTTATAAATTACGCAAAAATAATTCATTATTTAGGGTAAATAACGCACTTGACAGCAACTAATAGGGTTTGGAATGCATCGTTTTAATAAATAATTGGGTTCTTCTTTCAATGAATTGGGTTATTAAACGCTAAGGACAATATTGAATTGGGTTTTATATTGTTTTAATTGAGTAATTACGCAAATTTGCGGCTTATGTAGGGTGAGCAGTTTCTACTCCACAAGTGGCACCTGTTGTATTGCTCATGAAAGTTAAAATTCTCTTATGAGTCTCATTTCCTGATATCACAAAATCGATGAAAAGAGAACAGCATCAGGTGAAAATAATAAATCTGTTTATTTTCTGTGTATAAAACTATTTACAACAATAAACATAAAAAAAAAGCTTAAATGGATGACTATATTCTGATATTTACGACGTTTTTACGTAAATTTTACGTCAGGATACAATATTTTCAAGCTGTCTTAATGTTTAAATGTATGAATGGTCTAGCACCTGATTACCTATCTAATAAATTTACTGCTTGTACTGATCTTTATACAGTACCATTCAAGAGGACCAGCTCTCCCACACCCTACACCAAGGAAAATGTCGGAGTCACTCCGAAAAACTCGGATATTCCTCCCAAAATGTTGGGAGGAATTTAGGAGTAATCTCTCCCAAAATCGCGTAAATGTTTATTGTGATAGCGACCTCACTCCCTACACCGAGGAATTAATTGCCCTTATCCTACTTTGATCTTTACCGGCACACCACTGATAGGGTAATTGGGTTACCTGACAGGTAAAGGTTGATGTAATAAAGAATTATATTTCAGGTCTACTGTACCAGTTTAAGTGTCAAACAGGTGTATAATTTTAAATGTCTTTTTATACTGGTTAAGTTTAATTTTTGTGGTTATAATAAGTTCAAATATTTTCGTATTTCTTGCTTGCCAATCTAAAAATATCTTTACCTAAATGTACTTGCTTTAAAAAAAAAGAATTATAAAATATAGTGGAAAATGTGAAAAAGCGCAATATTTTTTTCAAAGTTGAAGTCTTTATTTGAAAATTATGTGTCTCAATGTTTTGTATATGCAAGTAAAAAGGAAAATTATTCACCATTCGTTAGGCATAATAATTATGTAAGTCTACGGCATTGTCTTTTTACGATTATCTAATTGCTTGAATGAATAAAAGATTTAAAGCAAAATGTTGTTTTTAATTCTTTCAATTGCATTAAAGTTTTATAAAAAATAATAAAATGCTCCGCTGGGGCGCAGCTTGATATGACCGCAGAGGTCGAACCCTGAACAGTTGGGGCAAGTATGGACACAACATTCAAGCTTTATACAGCACTGAATTTGGATTGTAATTAAGTATTTGACACAGCATAGGTTTCTGACACAGAATGAATGTGGTCTAAGAACTTAAAAAATTTTAATTTACCTATTCAAACCATATCATTATTATTTGCTTTTATATAAATCAGAAATAACCAATTTAAAATGGAAAATTTTAAAGAAAAAAAAGGGGGGAAAAAAATCCCACCCCCCCCCCCAAATTTTTTGAACCCCCTTATGATTCATCACCCCCAAACTCAATCCCAGCGTTCCCTTTGTGGTATGGTACCTTGCAATACAATTTAAGAGAGATCCATACACTTGAACACAAGTTATTGTCTGGAAACTAGAAAATGCTTGTTTTTTGGCCCCAAATTCCTAAACATTTAAGGCAATTACCCCCAAACTCAAACCCAGCTTTCCCTTTGAGATATGGTACCTTGCAGTACAATTTCATAAAGATCCATACACTTGAACACAAGTTATTGTCCTGAAACTAGAAAAATGCTTGTTTTTTTGCCCCTTTATGGCCCCTAATTCCTAAAATTTTGAGGGAATTACCTCCAAAATCAATCCCAGCCTTCCCTTTGTGGTATGGTACCTTGCAGAGTACAATTTCAGAGAGATCCATACACCTGAACACAAGTTATTGTCTCGAAACTAGAAAAATGCTTATTTTTGGCCCCTTTTTGGCCCCTTATTCCTGAACATTTTGGGCAATAACCCCCAAACTCAATTCCAGCTTTCCCTTTGTGATATGGAACCTTGCAGTACAATTTCATAAAGATCCATACACTTACACACAAGTTATTGTCATGAAACTAGAAAAAGGCTTGTTTTTTGCCCCTTTTTGGCCCCTATTTCCTAAAATTTGGAGGCAATTACCCCCAAAATTAATCCCAGCATTCCCTTTGTGATTTGGAACCTGGTGGTACAATGTCAGAGAGATCCATACACTTACACACAAGTTATTGTCATGAAACTAGAAAAATGCTTGTTTTTTGCCCCTTTTTGGCCCCTAATTCCTAAAATTTGGAGGCAATTACCCCCAAAATCAATCCCAGCATTCCCCTTTGTGATATGGAACCTTGTGGTACAATGTCAGAGAGATCCATACACTAACACACAAGTTATGTCTGGAAGTTACAAAAATGCTAATTTTGGCCCCTTTTTGGCCCCTTATTCCTTAACTGTTGGTACCATAACCCCCAAAATCAATCCCCACCTTCCTATTGTGGTATTGAACCTTATGGTAAAATTTCATAGAGATTCATTCACTTAAACTAAAGTTAGAGTGCGAAAACCAATGTGTCTTCGGACGACGACGACGACGACGTCATACCAATATACGACCGCCAAATTTATTTGTGGTCGTATAAAAACTGTACTTAATTTTGACCTCGATGTCTCTACCAGTAAATTAATATTTTATTTACGAAATGGACATACTTGTGTAAAAATAACCGGAAACTTCCGCTAAATTAATGAGAACAGTTTAAAGAAAATCATAAAAATTACGTGTCGCAAAGTTTTGTATATGCAAGTAAAAAAGAAAATATTATTCACCATTCGTTACGCTTAATATTTATGGCATTTTCGTTTTACGATTTGTTGGCATTACTTTAGGATAATAATACATTTCGGTTACAACAGGAATACTTCCACAGCTGCATTAATTCGTCTTTGTATAATATTTATTTTCGCACAATGAATGTAAATTTGTGTATTTTGAACAGTGATCGTAAAAGATTTAAAAATAATTATTTGCCGTGCGAAGACAATTCCACCATACACATCTCAGTTATCAACAGTTTGGGTTGAACTTGAACTTGACTTACTTATGTTAAATGCTAAAAATAGTTAACATTAATTTTATCCACAGCACAAGATTTTTGAAAGGGCGGGAAATAATATCACGTACCAGTAAACTCAGGTGACCTTTCTGGACGACCGTGGGAATATTCATTCAGGTTTATAAAGTTGCAGAACGACATTTTTGAGGCTCTAGAAGGTGTTTTTACAATTGATTAACCGGAATCTAAAATATAAATCTTTTCCGAATAAACGAGAACACATCTTCTTTAGCTATCTGATGTTTTATCAGTCAAAACAGGACGTAGACCTGAACATTTGTTATACGTCCATGGTCAATAATATAAATTTATGGTTGATGAAATATTGAAATTATGATGGAAATTGTCCGGGGGGATCAATTGTGTTCAAATGACAAAAATACGATAAAGAACCGCCAATTATGGGCGGTTGAGAAATTTTGAAAATGAAATGCTGACTGATTTAACTGGAATAGAATATTATGATGGGCAATTGAGGTTTATAAATAATTAAAGGATTAGTGACCTATCGGATGGCGATAAACGGATTACTTCTCATCACAACTTTTAACATCTTTTGTAAACGTTAAATGGCTGAGCGTCATAAACTTGTCAAAAACATGAAGACAGGTAGAATTATAGTAATTTAATGCTAAAATATTTTAACACTTTCCAAATTTAAATGACAAAATCGATATAAAATACTTTCGTCAATTTGAAAACCGTTTCGTTAAATACGAAAATGAAGAGCGCTAGCAAAATCACTTGAAGTTATTCCCTTTGTAACAGAGTTGTCACTTTACAGCTTCTTTTCGTAATTTAAATTATTCAAGTCTGTATAAGTGTACCGAGGTGGTGAAACATAATATTTTAAATTGCTCAATAAATTGAGTTTACTTGTTAATTGATCCGATGAATAGATTGGACGATCAAGTTACTGTAAAAACAACATTGTTTTTTATTAGCCAGTTGATTTTTAAATAATGAACAATTAATGCACGGATATTGCTTATTGAGTAAGTCATAAAAGATTCTAATGGTGGCCAAATTGTCTTTGTTCAAAGAACACAATGTATGACCTGACCGGACTGTAATAGAAACACAAAATAACAAGTTTTTTCTTCAAATTTTTTCGTTTGTAAAATTATTTCAAAGATAATGGCATGGGACACAAACATATAAGATACAAATGTAATAATTATCTTATTCTATATGATAATTTCACATCTTTATCTGTCAAAGAAAGGAAAACATTTGTTAAAATTTTTTTACTGTGATTTTAAAGCACACATGTGCAATCAAGATCGATTAAATGTACATAGGTAAATTATCTGGCTAATCCGATTATGTTGTCACACGTCGTTAATTTTTAGTACATCAGATGGGCAATAAACCAATTAACAGCTACGCGGTGTTGGGAGAGAATCTTTGGAGGAATTTGGGAGTGAAATCGGTGTGGCTCCGAAAAACACGGAAATTGGAAAAAAACGATATCGAATTGATGTTTAAATGGTACTGTAGTTATTCGCTCAGGTTGACAACATCAGGACTTAATTCTTCGTGAATAGAATAGCCATGCAAATTCTGATTTCTTTAAAAGAACATTTAAATGTTCTTGTCTTAATACTTGGAATAAATTGCCAAATAATATGATTTTCGATACATTTAAGATCAAATGTTCAAACTATTTTTTAACTGTACAGAATGAAGATACCTGAATCTAATGTATTTTTTTTCTTCTGTTGAATGCATGTATGCATGTATTCTTATTCAATATTTATGCTGCTTTATATAACTGTATTATGTATTTTATTTTGTTTGTTTGTATTTTTTTTTTTGTATTAATAGTTTTTGAATGCCTCGGGGAAGATCAACATGTCATTGACATAATTGTTAAATGAGTTACATTTTATTATTATGAATTATTATTAATAATTAGTCATTAATCTTACTTTACGCAGTGACATGCAGTGCCATGTAATTCATGTAAATTTCCCATAACCCTAGCACTATTAAAATGAAAACAAACTTTATAAAAATAAAAATTACCAATAACTGAGTCAATGTTTTGATGTGTCACACTCAGAGAGCATGTGCAAGCTCAAGTTTCAACGTTTCTCATTTGGTTACGAACTGAATGGCCTTTTCTTTTAAACTCGTTAAAACTCAATAAAATGCTACTTCAAATATCTGCATATAGTTGTGACATTCTTGTAAATTAATTATAAGTATGTCAATTTTCCAGGTAAGTCAATCACACCTGTCAATCCAAAGTAACAGTCTTGATTTTGAAGCCGATCGTCGTACAACTGTAATCAAATGGGTGCATATCAAACAATAAAAAGGACTAAATACATGTGGTTTGTGTTCTATTTTGCATATTTCTGTGTTCTTATTTGTTCTAATGGTCAAGAAATGAAAATAAATATAAAGAATTATTAGTTTCGTATAAGCCTGGTTTTCGGTTTCAACTTTGAGTACCAGATACTCCTTTCTTGGAGAAAATTACAGCAACAAATATCTGTTTCATGTTCTTTAAGACTTTATGCAACTGTATGCATTTTGTAGATATTGATATTGTTCATATTCAAAATCCCTAGTTTTTTACTTACTATCACATTTAACAGCCTCCTTTCCTAGCAATGCCTAGAACTTGTAGAAGCACAGGTCTCCATAAGTTATTGACATAATTTTTGTGTACAGGAGGGCATTTACATGTAGCTCACTCTATGGGCACATGTTAATGTATGCTTTGTCTACCCAATTACTTATCATCACAAGTAACATAATGTCACATTTAGAACAAAACAACATTTTATATAATCTACAACATGGCTTCAGAAAAAACCGATCTTGTGAATCACAATTAATTGACTTCATTCAAGAACTATCATCTAGTAATAATAGTAACATTCAAATTGACCTTATCATTATGGACTTTGCTAAAGCGTTTGATAAAGTTCCTCACCAATGATTACTTTACAAACTTCAATACAATGGTATAAGGAAAAATACACTTAAAATTAAATGGATCCAAGCTTTTTTATCCGATAGAACACAAACAGTTGTAATAAATGGTATTTCTTCTACATCAGTGCCAGTTACATCTGGAGTCCCACAGGGTACTGTACTGGGCCCCATATTATTTCTCATTTACATTAATGACTTCTCTGAATATTTAACACATAGCAAATTAAGACTCTTTGCTGATGATAGCATCATATATAGAGAAATCAAATCTCAATCAGACTGTGATAAATTACAAGAAGATCTAAACGCTGCAGCAAAGTGGGAAGCAGATTGGCTTATGGCTTTCCACCCTGATAAATGTACTAAACTTTCAATTTCACATAAAAAGAAACCATATTTACATGATTACATCCTTCATAGTCACATTCTTGAATCTGTTACATCTGCTAAATATCTGGGCGTTACTCTACAATCAAATCTTAAATGGAACCTACATTATGACAACATTATCTCAAACGGCAATAAATCTTTAGGATTCCTTAAAAGAAATTTAAAAATATCAAACACAGACATTAAATCAAGAGCATATCAAGCAATAGTCAGACCTAAATTAGAATACAGCTGCAGTTTATGGGACCCTCACACAAAAGATGCTACCCAAAAAATAGAAATGGTTCAAAGAAGAGCAACTAGGTACATTTGTAACAACTACCATAACACCAGTAGCGTTACAAATATGATGAATAATTTAAAACTACCGACATTAGCTGAACGCCGCCTTAAAACACGTCTTATTATATTTTACAAAGTAATTCACGGCCTCATTGCCATACCATCTGAAATTTTATTACCAACAGACAGTAGAACAAGACAAAACCATCCAAATACTTATAGACATATACGAACCACAAAGGAAACATATAAGTGGTCATTTTTCCCACACACCATCATACAATGGAACATGCTACCTATAGCCACAGTACAGTCAACCACAGTTGACAGTTTCAGAGCACACCTTACACAAGGTGTTCTCTGCCAACTGATTTAAATTTTTGTATATAATTTTTATTTTAATCACTAGTTTTTGTAATATACATGCACAAATTGTCAGATTTGTATATATTTTTTTTCTTTGGCATCTACAAGAAAATTAAATTTTAACACGCATGCACAACAACAAGTAATCTTCAGTATCCTGAAGTTTTGTTGTATAACTGAAGAAGAAGAAGAATTCTCTTGCCTGGCTTCGACATATAAAATTCAAGATTTTTAATGACCAATATGCACTCATTGACCATTACAGGTTGTGGACAAATTGCCAAATGGTCAATAGTTCCCCAAGGCAAATGAGTAACAATTACCTCAATATGAGGGATACATATTTTTTAACTTGAAATTGCACATATTGTTCATAATAATGCAGCAAATTTTCCAAAAGATGGATAGCCCTTATCTGATTTACCATGTTTACTGAGACATGTGAGAATATGAAAATATTGAAAAATTTACTATTTTCCAGGCTACTAACTTTTTTTAAACCCAAAATGAAATTATGGTTCAATCAGTCAGGGGTACTACTTGTACAAGTAATCTTTATTTACTTGAAGAAGTAAATAAAATATACTTATACAAGTCAAGGATTTGTATAGAAATCCTTGTACAAGTTAATTATATTGTTTGAATAATCTCCCCTTAATTTTCAAAAAAATTTACTTGTATAAGTAAATTTTTTTTACAATCCCACAAAAATTCTCAAGGTTTGAGATGTAAAATCATGCCTTTAACAATTTTTCTCAGGTTAGCTTATAATTTTTGATAAGAGTTCAATGTTTCATCTCATTAATTCAACAAAGAAACTGATTGAGCAAAGATCTTAAGTATTTGCGCAAGGCCTTCAAAAATTGCCCCTTGGGGGCTTGTAAATGATCAGTGTTCTAAAGATAACAGACAAATGAGATTTTCATTGTCCATGAAATTACACTTAAATGAATAGTAAAGACATCTGCAAAGGACAGACAATTCAAAATTCTGTTAGAGCAAAGAAGTTCTAAGAATTCAAGAAAAGAAGATAGGATGACTTTTTTACTTGTATAAGTAAAAAAAATCTAAATGTCTAAGGGACATAACTAGGCCAAAAAATAATTTACTTATACAAGTAAATAAAATACACTTGTATAAGTATCCTACAAATTTACTTATATAAGTATATTATAATTACTTCTTCAAGTAAATAAAAATTACTTGTACAAGTAGTACCCCTGACTGTCAATGGATTTTTCAATTTTTCAATTAGTGCCATTTCATGATTTTAAGTAAATGTACATGTAAAACAACTCCATTAAAAAAAAAATTGATTTTTAGGATTATCTAATGATTACTCAATTGAGGGGTAGTTTAGTTCCGAAATACAATGTAGTCGTTTTTACCGCATCTGATTTAATGTTACATACAAAAGTCACATGATAACTTTAGAAATCTATGCAGTGTCGGGATCAAAACAACATTGCCTGCTTAGAAACATCAACATATGAGCCATGTCACCTTACAGTCGGAAAAAATAATGAGATGTGGTATGATTGCCAATGAGACAGCTATCCACCAGAGTTCAAATGAAGTGAAAGTTAGCAATTATAGGCAATTGTGTCATGTGTGTAGCTTTCAACAATGAAAAAATCCATACTGTATAGTCTACTATATAAGGCCCTGACATGAAAAATGTGAAACAATTCAAACGAGAAAACCAACTGCATAATCTATATCAGAACAATTTATGAAAAAAACCAACATGACACTGACATGAACCAACGACAACCACTGAACTACAGGTTCCTGTCTTGTGACAGGCACTTAAAGAATGTGGTGGGGTTAAACATGTTTGTTAGCACTCAATACTTTTTTTATTTACTTTAATGAAATAAATTACACATTTACATGCAAATATTAAATCCTTCAAACACAAATCTCAAGTTCTGAGATTTTACTACAATTGACCTAAATTATGCAGGTTGACCAAATAATGTTTGCAAAACAACCATTCTTTATTATTTTTAGCCCACCTTGCTTAATAGGCCATGTCACAGTTGCTATCATTTGTCATCTATTCTTGTCCTAAGTCAGGAACCTGTTGTTCAGTGGTTGTCGTTTGTTGGTGTGGTTCATAGGCAGGTGGTTTCTCGTTTCTCATTTTTTTATATAGATTACACCGTTGGTTTTCCTGTTTGAATTCTTTTACACTAGTCATTTTGGGGCCCTTTATAGCTTACTTTTCGGTGTGAGCCAAGGCTCCGTGTTGAAAGCCGTACTTTGACCTATAATTGTTAACTTTTTATACGACCGCAAAAATTAAAAATTTTTTGGTCGTATATTGGTATGACGTTGTTGTCGTCGTCGTCGTCGTCTGGCGTCGTCCGGCGTCGTCTGAAGACACATTGGTTTTCGCACTCTAACTTTAGTTTAAGTGAATGGATCTCTGTGAAATTTTACCATAAGGTTCAATACCACAAAAGGAAGGTTGAGATTGATTTTGGGGGTTATGGTACCAACAGTTAAGGAATTAGGGGCCAAAAAGGGGCCAAAAATAAGCATTTTTGTAACTTCCAGACATAACTTGTGTGTTAGTGTATGGATCTCTCTGACATTGTACCACAAGGTTCCATATCACAAAGGGAATGCTGGGATTGATTTTGGGGGTAATTGCCTCAAAATTTAAGGAATAAGGGGCCAAAAAAGGGGCAAAAAACAAGCATTTTACTAGTTTCATGATAATAACTTGTGTGTAAGTGTATGGATCTTTCTGAAATTGAACTACAAGGTTCCATATCACAAAGGGAAAGCTGGAATTGAGTTTGGGGGTAATTGCCCAAAACGTTTAGGAATAAGGGGCCAAAAATAGCATTTTTCTAGTTTCCAGACAATTACTTGTGTTCAAGTGTATGGATCTCTCTGAAATTGTACTGCAAGGTACCATACCACAAAGGGAAGGCTGGGATTGATTTTGGGGGTAATTGCCTCAAAATTTTAGGAATTAGGGGCCAAAAAGGGGAAAAAAACAAGCATTTTTCTAGTTTCAGGACAATAACTTGTGTTCAAGTGTATGGATCTCTCTGAAATTGTACTGCAAGGTTCCATACCACAAAGGGAAGGCTGGGATTGAGTTTGGGGGTGATGAATCATAAGGGGGTTCAAAAAATTTGGGGGGGGGGATTTTTTTTTTTCCCTTTTTTTTCTTTTTTCCTTTTAAAATTTTCCATTTTAAGTTGGTTATTTCTGATTTATATTTAAAAACAAATAATAATGATATGGTAGGAGATACACACCAAACAGGATGTGTAAATTATTATATAATAAGTATTGTGCAATAGCAAGAAATTTTCAATTGCACAGTATTGCACAATAGCAAGAAATCTTCCATTGCACAGTATTGCGCAATAGCAAGAAATCTTCAATTGCACAGTATTGCGCAATAGCAAGAAATATCCAATAGCACAATTTTGCGCAATAGCAAGAAATTGTCAATTGTACAGTATTGCACAATAGCAAGAAATATTCAATTGCACAGTATTGTGCAAAAGAAGATACTTCGTATAAATTGCTTATTTCTTGACCAATTTCAATGGGGTTTTATTCTTGAATTCTTGGGGTTCTTTAATATGCTGAATCTAACCGTGTATTAAGTTTTTGGATTTTGGGCCCCGTTTTTAAATTGGTCCACATTGAGGTCCAAAGGGTCCAAAATTGAACTTTGTTTGATTTCATCAAAAATTGAATTATTGGGGTTCTTTGATATGCCGAATCTAACCGTGTATTTAGATTCTTAATTTTTGGTTCCGTTTTCAAATTGGTCTACATTAAGGTCCAAAGGGTCCAAAATTAAACTTAGTTTGATTTTAACAAAAATTGAATTCTTAGGGTTATTTGATATGCTGAATCTAAACATGTATTTAGATTTTTGATTATGGGCCCAGTTTTCAAGTTGTTCCAAATCGGGGTCCAAAATTAAACTTTGTTTGATTTCAACAAAAATTGAATATATGGGGTTCTTTGATATGCTGAATCTAACCATGTATTTTGATTTTTGGGCCCCGTTATTAACTTTGTCCACATTGAGGTCAAAAGGGTCCTAAATTAAACTTTGTTTGATTTCATAAAAAATTGAATTCTTGGGGGTCTTTGATATGCTGAATCTAACCATGTATTTAGATTTTGGATATTGGACCATAATAGTTGAATGTCCAATTTAAAATTTTTAATTTCTTAGACCACATTCATTCTGTGTCAGTAACCTATGCTGTGTCAAATATTTAATCACAATCCAAATTCAGAGCTGTATCAAGCTTGAATGTTGTGTCCATACTTGCCCCAACTGTTCAGGGTTCGACCTCTGCGGTCGTATCAAGCTGCGCCCTGCGGAGCATTTTATTATACATTGTGACATGGACATGTTGGATAGAGAGTTGTCTCATTGGCACCATACCACATTTTCTTATTTATATTGTGGTCATCTGTACATGTAAGCTTTTTTAAAGGCCCAACTTCTGAAACCACTGACCAATTTCAAAGTTGTTTTTGTCTCCTCCAAACAACCAATATGTTTGCCGTGGTTAAAATAAAACATAAGGAAAAAATGCAAGTAATTATCAGTTACATTTGTATCTTGAAAACAGTAATAGATACAGAAAAATCTGACAGGGGTAGCAATACTTAGAGCTTCTAGCTTTTCTGATATTGTCTTATAAGAGTAATTTCCCAAAATCTCAATTGTAACTTGGACCAATTCAGTCATGTATTATTCAACATGGTCATGATGGTCAGAGATTAAAGACTAAGAAAGCTTAAACATGTTATTAAAACTGAAACTGAAAGGAAAATAATGATGAGTTATTAAAAGTTTTTTATAGATGTATTCATATATACATTGTTATAATACAATAATATTTACATATATCTTTTGTAGGTTTAGTCACAACAGTGTGTAGGTAGAAGTAATATTAGAGAAACAATCTGCCAAAGCTATGTGCAAAGGATATACTGTGATGTAGTACTTTTTATTCTATAAATAAAAAATATGAAGATTTATCCAACAACCTACTGCATGAACAGGGCCTTAAGGTTACAACTTACAAGATTGTCATCCAATTCTACCAGTTGCTATAACAACATTAGAGAAACTGACACATTATCTGATAAACACACAGTTAACCTGCAGAACATTTCTGAAGGGAGTTATTACAATCATCAAAACAGAAGAAGAATACTAAAGGGACATTACTCTTGCGGAAGATATATTCAAAGACAACACTGCAGTAGTTTCGTGGATGGAAACATTTCAGATGGTCTCCGTTCTACGCCTCCATGGAGAATATTATTTTTTGGAACTGATCATTTCTCTCTTTTTACCTTAAAATGTTTAAATGAGAATAGGTAATAATTTTGTACCAATTGTGTATACCGGTATATCAATTTTCATGACTTTATATTCATCATTCTTATTATTTGAACTATTAAAACATTGTTAATAGATAGCCAAGGGAAAGTAAATGTTATAATGTTTTGTAATTAGAACCATCTTATTCAAATTTTTATCTAGAAATCAAAATTTATACATCACAAAATGCATAGTTGTCTCATTTGCAATCATACCACATCTCCTTATTTTTATATTTTAATTGAACAAACATGTTTGTTTGTTTGTTTGTTTGTTTGTTTGTTTGTTTGTTTGTTTGTTTATTTTCAATACTTTGAATTATAATTAAAAATTTAGATAGAAAACACAATGGCCATAAGTAAAAAGAAGAAAAGACAAAACAATCCTCAAAACTTTAAACAGAAAACTAAATGTTTAGTAACAAGAACACCAGAGAACAGGGAGGTGTGATAAGTCAGGTGCTCTGGGAGGGAAAGCAATTCCTACTACACTACCACAATGTACAACATATACATGATGTACCTTTAGATATGACAAAGGGATAACATTTGATTTTTTTTTACCTGTATGCCAAATAAAAGATAAAAATTCTGTGTTTAACATAGAAAATTGTTGTGCACTTTAGATGTAATGTATATCATACCAATTGAAGACAAAACTTTTACTTAAGATCATGAAAATACTGTCCTGACAGCAGAATTAGGCTGGACACAGTCTACCAGATAAACATTTAACCTTACATCCTACATAGATTTTCAGAATTGTATGATTATATAATTTAAAGTAATTTAAGTAAGCCTCAAAGTTTCATGAAACCATAATGACAAAAAATTTCTTTACAGATTGCAAGATAATGGCAGTGTTGTTGAAAGTATAGAAGTTGTAACTGGCAAAGAAAAAGTAAGACCATGTGTACAAATATTCTAGTTTTTAAAAGCTCAAGTACAATACACAAATACATAAATCTGGTAACATTGGAAGTTTAGGTTTAAAAAAGCAGGTTTTATCTTAAAATATAATCTTGGTAAACTTATACTTAATTTTTGATTCCCCTGAATAATTCCAAACCAGCTAGCACTTTAAATTTTTTCACAGATTATATATTTTGCTTTTGTTACAATGCTGTATTCAAACACCTCTTCTATGACTATCAAATGTACTGGTACATGTACAGGTTTTCAAGACCCTCAGAACCGTTTGTCCTAGTTGCAAGCTTTAAATTTCTGGTCCTACGAATAGTTTCAGTAAAGTAGAACAATTCTTGGATAATATGCCTGCATAACCAAATAATTAATGTATGTTGACAACAAATATGGTTTAATGTCTAGACAGATTCCCATGAAATTTGCACTCATTTGTTTAAGAGCATACGATACAGTTACAGGGGAGGTAATGACGTTGCTAACGTAAAATGTTATTTTTCACGACGTCAAACTGTGACAAATTGGGAAAAGATGCATTTTCGACTGATTTTTATCAATCGGATTGATTTTACTTGAAAACAAGATCATGGACCCTTCTTTTTAAAAATGACATTTGGCTTGAAAATGTATGAAGATTCTTTGTGCCAATTTTAATGAACAAATCACTAATGCATTTTTTTTAAATTAGATAAATATACAGCAAAAAATTACGTTCTTTGGCTAAAATCATGAAAATGTGATAAAAATTAATAATTTCCAAAGATTTGTTACACAAATTCAAAGCACACTTAAGTAGAGAAGATATTCAAGATGCTTTTACAAAAATCTGCTTGCGTTTTTCTTTTTAAACAAAAAAGCTAAGTATGTCTTTTCAAAGGATAGAAATGTCCAAGAAACCAAAATTTCCAGTAAATGTTTGAAATTTCAACCCCATTGATTTCTAAAATTAGCACATTTTTTATTACATATTTGAATTGACTAGATGAAAAATAGCTTGTATGCAAACTTTCGTCAAAAATTCACCGTAGGATCAAAACTGTTTCGTATGCCCTTAAGGCTAATTTAGAGAACTGCCTCTGAATATTGAAAAAAGTTGCATTTATTCTTCCAAAGATACATAGTTAAAAATCTGTAAAATATGTCTATAAATGTGTAGAGGGTGTGTGAACAGTATTATTTGTTATTTCTGTGAATATTTCCCTTGTAATTGATTTTATGTATGGAAGTATTGAATGAAATGAATTGCTATGTCACCTGAATTTTTTTTATTTAAACTTTGTTGTATTATGCAGATGATATTAATTTCAACTTTTACATATTTAAGAAATCTGTAAGATGTTATGCTGAGCAAGCAGGATTAGAAGTTCATAATTGGCCAATTGTTGTACAAGATGGTCAATATGACGTTGGAGTTCTGGTGTCATTCGGCAGCTTGATTCCAGAAAAAGTTATAAATAGCTTTCCATAGTAGGTGGAATCTTTTGGATTTAGAAAGTTTTATATATATGCATAAAATAAAATTTCAGAAATTTTATGAGACAAATGCTGAAGGATCAAAACAATAGAAAAAATAAAATTAAAAATAAGATCTCTGGAATTTAAGTCTGATGTGTGTTTACATGCTTTAGTCTCCCTGTATTAACTGCCCAATCAAAATATTTTTAATGCTAAATTCTGTAATAAGTTTAATAGGTCAATCAAAGACAGCAAATCATGAGTCTGAGTAAGTGTTCTCTATTCATACTCTATTGCTAGTATAAATATAAGCCAATCAACAGCTAGTATTTATTTAAACCTGAATAAATAGAAAAATATTTTTTCTGTTTTAATTGATTTTGGAGACTATTTTTTTTCAATGAAAATTCTGCTGTATTAAAGAATTTGTTGTTTTATTCCAGTGGTATATTAAATGTTCATCCAAGTTTACTACCAAGATGGAGGGGAGCCTCACCACTTGTACATACCATATTAAATGGAGACAAAGAAACAGGGATATCAATAATGGAAATAAGACCCAAACAGTAAGTGCTTCTATTGTTTTGCCGTTATTATATCTCCGCTACAAAAGGAGGGTCTATATTGGTTTATGTCTGTCAGTCACTCTGTCCATCCATTCCATAAAATTTTTATCAGAAAATACAAATAAGAGCTTAAATTTTTAAATCAATATAAAAATAAGAAAATGTGGTATAATTGCCAATGAGACATCTCTCCACCAGAGACCAAATGACATAGAAGTTAACAACTGTAGGTCACCGTACGGCCTTCAACAATGAGCAAAGCACAAACTGCTGTCCGCTATAAAAGGCCCCAAAATGACAAAATGTAAAACAATTCAAACAAGAAAAACTAACGGCCTGATTTATGTTTGTTCTGAGCATGCTATACCGTGTGGTGCAATTTTAGATTTGTTGCTTTGTCAATTCTGTTTAACAATTACTTATATATTCTTTATACACACCTTGTTTTAAATGTTCATCCCATTTTTCTCAGGAATTGCAAATCAAGGCTTTCTGAAATATGGAAATAAGCTTCATGTGAGCATACCATATTGTGTGATGTGTTTCATATCCATCAAACATCAACTTCCTGTTTACCGAAAAACTTATAAGAGGTTGTATCATTAGTGACCAATAGCTCTAAGTTCAACATGTTTTTGAAGAAAAAATAAATCAATTAAATTTAAAAAATTAAATCTAGGAGTTAAGGATATATTCTTCTGACCTTACAGTCTCGTTGAAATCTCGTTCTGGAATTATTTCCAAAACATGTGATACAAGTGGAAAATATCAATGAATTTAAAAAATGTTATAATCAAACATAACTCTGTCAAAAAATTGTGTATTTACAATGAGTAGTTTTTGAGTAATCAATTTTTCAAATTTTATTACCAATCAAGTCAGTCTTTTTAGCCAAAACTTTGAGAAAATGGGTGAGGGGTACAAGAAATGACTTTACCAGAAACATGTACATCCCATATCCCTTTTTTCTTTTCAAATTTCTTAGAGGTGTATTTTTTCAATCATTTATAACAAAGAAGTTGAAATAATATGCATTTTGTTCTTAAAACAGAGAAAAATCACAAATTTACAGAATTGACAGCATGGTTAATTTGACACAAAAAAGCATCAAAATATGATAAAACTTTCTTAAATTAACACCTACCTATAGTTTTTTTAAGTTAAATTTATTCAGATTAGTCCACTTCATCTTTATTGAAAGTATGAAAAAAAGTTTAATTGTGGAACCGTGATTTTTTTCACGATAATAGCCCAAAAATAGGTAAAACTTGATGAAAAATGGGAAAATCATAAAAATTGGGTACTTTTAAAGGGCCTTGCAAAAAAAGAAGTGCACCACCATATCATTTTTTCTTCACCAATTATTTTTTTACAGTCATATAAAACCAAAAATCAGGTAAAGAAAAAAAGTTTAATTCTAGAACTTTTTGGCTCCTCAGAGGTGTACATCCTTAAGGGGGAGGGTTCAGCACTCACAAACATGCTTAACTAGCCAAATTCTTTATGTGCCTGTCCCAAGTCAGGAGCCTGTTATTCAGTGGTTGTCATTTGTTCATGTCGTCAAATTTACTTTTTATACGACCGCAAAAAAATTTTGTGGTCGTATATTGGTATGACGTTGGCGTCGTCGTCGTCGTCATCGTCCGGCGTCGTCGTCCGGCGTCGTCGTCCGAAGACACATTGGTTTTCGCACTCTAACTTTAGTTTAAGTGAATGGATCTTTTTGAAATTTGACCATAAGGTTAAATACCACAAAAGGAAGGTTGGGATTGATATTGGGGGTTATGGTACCAACAGTTAAGGAATTAGGGGCCAAAAAGGGGCCAAAAATAAGCATTTTCTAGTTTCCAGACAATAACTGTGGAACGGTGTATGGATCTCTCTGAAATTATACTACAAGTTTCCATACCACAAAGGGATGGTTAGGATTTGCTTTGGGGGGTTATGGCTCAAACCGTTTAGGAATTAGGGGCAAAAAAGGGGGAAAAACAAGGTTGTCCTGGTTAATGGACAAATACTTTAGTACAAAACATAATTTAAAGCAGTGTAAGGGAGATAAATCAAATACATCATTGAAATTATCTCCCTTACACTGCTTTTAAATTATGTATAAAGTAATGGTTAATGAACAATAAAGATAATTTAAAACAGTGTAAGGGAGGTAATCCAAATACAAAGTTTTGGTTACTTCCCTTACACTGCTTTTAAATTATGTTTAAAGAAATAAATATTTATAAAGGAAGACCAGTAAAAATATCTGCAAATGTTGCATCTTTTTTTTTTACAAAAAAATCCATATGAAAGATTTGACACTATATTTTTATACGACCGCAAAAAAATTTTTGTGGTCGTATATTGGTATGACGTTGGTGTCGTCGTTGTCGTCGTCCGGCGTCGTCGGCGTCGTCCGAAGACACATTGGTTTTCGCACTCTAACTTTAGTTTAAGTGAATGGATCTTTATGAAATTTTACGACAAGGTTCAATACCACAAAAGGAAGGTTGGGATTGATTTTGGGGGTTATGGTAATAACAGTAAAGGAATTAGGGGCCAAAAAGGGGCCAAAAATAAGCATTTTTGTAACTTCCAGACATAACTTGTGTGTTAGTGTATGGATCTCTCTGACATAGTACCACAAGGTTCTATATCACTAAAGGAATGCTGGGATTGATTTTGGGGGTAATTGCCTCCAAATTTTAGGAATTAGGGGCCAAAAAAGGGGCAAAAAACAAGCATTTTTCTAGTTTCATGACAATAACTTGTGTGTAAGTGTATGGATCTTTCTGAAATTGTACTACAAGGTTCCATATCACAAAGGGAAAGCTGGGTTTGAGTTTGGGGGTAATTGCCCTAAACGTTTAGGAATTTGGGGCCAAAAAGGGGCCAAAAAACACATTTTTTTCTAGTTCCCAGACAATAACTTGTGTTCAAGTGTATGGATCTCTCTGAAATTGTATTGCAAGGTACCATACCACAAAGGGAAGGCTGGGATTGAGTTTGGGGGTGATGAATCATAATGGGGGTTCAAAAAATTTTGGGGGGGGGATTTATTTTTTTTTCCTTTTTTTTCTTTTTTTCCTTTTTTGTTTCTTTTAAAATTTTCCATTTTAAGTTGGTTATTTCTGATTTATATTTAAAATCAAATAATAATGATATGGTAGGAGATACACACCAAACAGGATGTGTAAATTATTATATAATAAGTATTGTGCAATAGCAAGAAATTTTCAATTGCACAGTATTGCACAATAGCAAGAAATCTTCAATTGCACAGTATTGCGCAATAGCAAGAAATCTTCAATTGCACAGTATTGCGCAATAGCAAGAAATATCCAATAGCACAATATTGCGCAATAGCAAGAAATTGTCAATTGTACAGTATTGCGCAATAGCAAGAAATATTTAATAGCACAGGATTGTGCAAAAGAAGATACTTCCTATAAATTGCTTATTTCTTGACCAATTTCAATGGGGTTTTATTCTTGATTTCATAGGGTTCTTTAATATGCTGAATCTAACCGTGTATTTAGTTTTTGGATTTTGGGCCCCGTTTTTAAATTGGTCCACATTGAGGTCCAAAGGGTCCAAAATTAAACTTTGTTTGATTTCATCAAAAATTGAATTATTGGGGTTCTTTGATATGCCGAATCTAACTGTGTATTTAGATTCTTAAATTTTGGTTCCGTTTTCAAATTGGTCTACATTAAGGTCCAAAGGGTCCAAAATTAAACTTTGTTTGATTTCATCAAAAATTGAATTATTGGGTTCTTTGATATGCCGAATCTAACAGTGTATTTAGATTCTTAATTTTTGGTTCCGTTTTCAAATTGGTCTACATTAAGGTCCAAAGGGTCCAAAATTAAACTTAGTTTGATTTTAACAAAAATTGAATTCTTAGGGTTCTTTGATATGCTGAATCTAAACATGTATTTAGATTTTTGATTATGGGCCCAGTTTTCAAGTTGGTCCAAATCGGGGTCCAAAATTAAACTTTGTTTGATTTCAACAAAAATTGAATATATGGGCTTCTTTGATATGCCGAATCTAACCATGTATTTAGATTTTTGATTTTTGGGCCCCATTATCAACTTTGTCCACATTGAGGTCAAAAGGGTCCAAAATTAAACTTTGTTTGATTTCATCAAAAATTGAATTATTGGGGTTCTTTGATATGCCGAATCTAACAGTGTATTTAGATTCTTAATTTTTGGTTCCGTTTTCAAATTGGTCTACATTAAGGTCCAAAGGGTCCAAAATTAAACTTAGTTTGATTTTAACAAAAATTGAATTCTTAGGGTTCTTTGATATGCTGAATCTAAACATGTATTTAGATTTTTGATTATGGGCCCAGTTTTCAAGTTGGTCCAAATCGGGGTCCAAAATTAAACTTTGTTTGATTTCAACAAAAATTGAATATATGGGGTTCTTTGATATGCTGAATCTAACCATGTATTTAGATTTTTGATTTTTGGGCCCTGTTATCAACTTTGTCCAGATTGAGGTCAAAAGGGTCCAAAATTAAACTTTGTTTGATTTCATCAAAAATTGAATTATTGGGGTTCTTTGATATTCCAAATCTAACTGTGTATTTAGATTTTTAATTTTAAGTCCCGTTTTTATACGACCGCAAAAAAATTTTGTGGTCGTATATTAGTATGACGTTGGCGTCGTTGTCGTCGTCCGGCGTCATCGTCCGAATACACAATGGTTTTCGCACTCTAACTTTAGTTTAAGTGAATGGATCTCTATGAAATTTTACCATAAGGTTCAATACCACAATAGGAAGGTGGGGATTGATTTTGGGGGTTATGGTACCAACAGTTAAATAATTAGGGGCCAAAAAGGGGCCGAAAATAAGCATTTTTGTAACTTCCAGACATAACTTGTGTGTTATTGTATGGATCTCTTTGACATTGTACTACAAGATTACATATCACAAAGGGTCGATGATGGGATTGATTTTGGGGTTAATTTCCTCGAAATTTTAGGAATAAGGGGCCAAAAGGGGGCAAAAAACAAGCATTTTTCTAGTTTCATGACAATAACTTGTGTGTAAGTGTATGGATCTTTCTGAAATTTTACTACAAGGTTCCATTTCGCAAAGGGAAAGCTGAAATTGAGTTTTGTGGTAATTGCCCAAAACGTTTAGTAATAAGGGGCCTAAAAAGGGGTGAAAAATAAGCATTTTTTAGTTTCTAGACAATAACTTGTGTTCAAGTGTATGGATCTCTCTAAAATTGTATTACAAGGTACCATACCACAAAGGCAAGGCTGTTATTGAGCTTGGTTTGGGGGGGAAGGGGGGGGGGGTGATGAATCATAGGGGGGGGGGTCAAAAAAGGGGTAATTATTTTTTTTCGTTTAAGGAATAAGGGGAAAAAAGGTTAAAAAACTAGGGTTTCCATTTTAATAGACAAATAATTGAGTAAAGAACATTATTTAAAAGCAGTGTAAGGTTGGTAATTCAAACTCATTTAAATATCTCACCTGCACTATGTTTGAATTATGTAAATTGGAAATTTGCCAATTATTTTAGTATAATAAACTTCATTGGAAATTTGCCAATATAAAATTTTGCTGATGAAGGTTTTTTGTTTACCTTTAGTCTGACTATGATGTCATTTTCTATTTTAATAACCTTATGATGTAGTTAAATTTTTTTTAATACTTTTATGATGTATTTTAATGCGCTTTTATGGTTGCAAATTTATTGTTTTAAATTTAATAAACTCCATTGGAAATTTACCAATAGTTTGTTTATTTTTAGCTATGACTATGATGTCATTTTCTATTTAATTTTAAGGTTACAAATTAATTTCAGTTTTAAATATTATTGTAAAATGTTTGCCCAAAACATTTATTAATAAGTGGCCAAAAAAGGGGGCAAAAATAAGCATTTTTTTAGTTTCCAGACATTAACTTGTGTTCAAGTGTATGGATTTCTCTGAAATTGTACTTAAAGGTACCATACCACAAAGGGAAGTGGGTCAAAAAATTTGGGGGGGGGGGATTTTTTTTCCTTTTTTTTTTCTTTAAAATTTTCCATTTTAAGTTGGTTAATTCTGATCACAAAGAGAAAGTTGGAATTGAGTTTGGGGGATAATTGCTCAAATGTTTAGGAATAAGGGGCTAAAAAAGGGGTTAAAAATAAGCATTTTTTTTTAGTTTCCAACAATTAATTGTGTTTAAGTAATTGGATCTCTGTGAAATTGTACTGCAAGGTACCATACCACAAACTGAAGGCTGGGATTGAGTTTGAGGGGGGGGGGGGGGGGGGGCGTGATGTGTGAAAATTTTCCACTTAAAGTTGGTTAATTATTTCTGATTTAGATATAAAAGCAAATAATAATGATGTGGTTTGATTTTATCAAAAACTTAAATTGAAGTTATGTATATTGTAAATTTAGGTTACATTGGAATTTAAGAATTGGCTTTGGGGTAGGGTTATGGCTCAAACCTTTAAATAATAAGGGAAAAAAAGGTGAAAAAACAAGGGTTTCCAGGTTAATAGACAAATAAGTACAAAACATTATTTAAAAGCAGTGTAAGGTTGGTAATTCAAACTCATTTAAATATCTCACTTACACTGCTTTTAAATTATGTAAATTGGAAATTTGCCAATAACTTTATTGTTAATAAATGCATTGGAAATTTGCCAACAATTTTAGTATAATAAACTTCATTGGAAATTTGCCAATATAAAATTTTGCTGATGAAGGTTTTTTGTTTACCTTTAGCCTTGACTATGAAGTCATTTTCTATTTTTATAGCCTTATGATGTAGTTGAATTATTTAATACTTTTATGATGTGTTTAAATGGGGTTTTATGGTTGCAAATTTATTGTTTTAGTTTAATAAACTCCATTTAAAATTTGGTAATAAAAAAAATGTTTGTTTATTTTTAGCTATGATTATGATGTCATTTTCTATTTTACTTTTATGGTTGCAAAGAAATTTTTATTTTAAGATATTACTGTTAAATGATGCTGATTAAGGTTTTTGCTATGTTTAGCCATGACTATGATGTCATTTTCTATTTTAATATCTGTCATGATGTATTTAAATGGGCTTTTATGGTTACAAAGGAATTTTATTTTTAGATATTACTGTAAAATGTTGCTGATAAAGGATTTTGTTTATTTTTAGCCATGACTATGATGTCATTTTCTATTTTAATACCTTTATTATGTAATTTCCATTTTTAGATATTACTGTTAAATGATGCTGATTGAGGGTTTGAATGCTGGGATTGATTTTGGGGGTAATTGCCTCCAAATTTTAGGAATTAGGGGGCAAAAAACAAGCATTTTTCTAGTTTCATGACAATAACTTGTGTGTAAGTGTATGGATATTTATGAAATTGTACTACAAGGTTCCATATCACAAAGGGAAAGCTGGAATTGAGTTTGGGGGTACTTGCCCAAAACGTTTAGGAATAAGGGGCCAAAAATAAGCATTTTTCTAGTTTCCAGACAATAACTTGTGTTCAAGTGTATGGATCTCTCTGAAATTGTACTGCAAGGTACCATACCACAAAGGGAAGGCTGGGATTGTTTTTGGGGGTAATTGTCTCAAAATGTTAGGAATTAGGGGCCATAAAGGGGCAAAAAAACAAGCATTTTTCTAGTTTCATGACAATAACTTGTGTGTAAGTGTATGGATCTTTATGACATTGTACTGCAAGGTTCCATATCACAAAGGGAAACTTGGTTTGAGTTTGGGGGTAATTGCCCTAAACTTTTAGGAATTTGGGGCCAAAAAGGTGCAAAAAACCCAAGCATTTTTCTAGTTTCCAGACAATAATTTGTGTTCAAGTGTATGGATCTCTCTGAAATTGTACTGCAAGGTACCATACCACAAAGGGAAGGCTGGGATTGAGTTTGGGGGTGATGAATCATAAGGGGGTTTCAAAAAATTTGGGGGGGGGATTTTTTTTTCCTTTTTTTTCTTTAAAATTTTCCATTTTAAATTGGTTATTTCTGATTTATATATAAAAGCAAATAATAATGATATGGTTTGAATAGGTAAATTAAAAAATTTTAAGTTCTTAGACTACTTTCATTCTGTGTGAGAAACCTATGCTGTGTCAAATATTTAATTACAATCCAAATTCAGTGCTGTATCAAGCTTGAATGTTGTGTCCATACTTGCCCCAACTGTTCAGGGTTCGACCTCTGCGGTCGTATCAAGCTGCGCCCCAGCGGAGCATTTTATTTAAATTGGTCTACATTAAGGTCCAAAGGGTCCAAAATTAAACTTAGTTTGATTTTAGCAAAAATTGAATTATTGGGGTTCTTTGATATGCTGAATCTAAACATGTGTTTAGATTTTTGATTATGGGCCCAGTTTTCAAGTTTGTCCAAGTTGGGGTCCAAAATTAAACTTTGTTTGATTTCAACAAAAATTGAAAATATGGGGTTCTTTGATATGCTGAATCTAACCATGTATTTTGATTTTGGACATTGGACCATAATAGGTAAATTAAAAAAATTCAAGTTCTTAGACCACATTCTTTCTGTGTCAGAAACCTATGCTGTGTCAAATATTTAATAACAATCCAAATTCAGAGCTGTATCAAGCTTGAATGTTGTGTCCATACTTGCCCCAACTGTTCAGGGTTTCGACCTCTGCGGTCGTATCAAGCTGCGCCCCAGCGAAGCATTTTATTATGAATTATACTGTTATAAATTAGCCCGTTAGTTTTCCATTGAATTGTTTCACATTTTTCATGTCCTTTTATAGCTGACTATATGATATCAGCTTTTCTCATTGTCGAAGGCTGTATGGTGAACTATCATTGCTAATATCTTTGTCATTTGAACTTTGGTGGATAGTTGTCTCATTGGCAATCATATCAAATCTCCTTATTTGGAAATACAACAGATTATTGTTATGTAAACTTCTACCATTGTCTACTTATAGTCTACTTGAAAGGTATATTTTGATGAACAAAAGGTGATGTGGTGTATACATTAATGAGACAGCAACACAATGTTACATCTAGAGGTCAACATATATATTATATTGACTGGCTTAATATTTGATACGATTATTATGTTGAAGGCATCATCATCAGCATTTCAAAATCCATAACTCTAGAAATATTTCAAGCTTTAATCCAACTGGTGTCTTAAAAGTTGTGAATAAATTATGGTAGAGAGCACCAAAAGATCTGCCATCAATACCTAATTCTCTAAATGACAAAATATATTAAGATATAAGACCATCACTGTTGTATATTTTTAGTTTTGATACTGGACCTGTGTTGATACAAGAAAAGTTTCCAGTGCCTCCAGACTGTACAACAAGACAGTTACATAATACTTTAGGACCTATTGGAGGGAAAATGGTAAAGTAAAAAAAAAATCACTTCTAGTTGTAAGTCATGAACAACTCAGTATAATTTATGATCAATTTTGGTCTTAGTTTATTGAATAAGTACTAGATATTGTATCTGTTCTTCTGATATACTTGTGGAAGAACAAAGGAGTAGGCCCAGTAAGACCCCTTTTTGGCCCCAAAATATAGCAGTTTTACAAAATTGTTATTATGTAAATTCTTAGCTATTTATTGGAAAGAAGAATACTTCTGTTACATAAATATGGGCTGTTTTTGACAATACAATGCACATGTATCGGGTACTAGCATCATTAAGTCATGCTAAATTACTGAAATCTTCGAAATTTTAGCATTTTGGTTACTTTTTAGACGGTTTCCGTCTGAAATGGAAGTGGCCGCATTTGTGTTCATTCTTAATATTTAAATGTAAGTTGTATTTGATGATATTACATAACATATATAAAGGTTGAGAATGAACACAGATGCGGCCACTTTCATTTTTGACAAAAACCGTCTGAAAAGTGACATATTATGGCATATTTGATATATTTTTCATATTTATGCTTGAATTTGAGCGTCTTTAATGACTAAATCAGTTCAAATCTTTCACATAAACTAATTGAATCGACTGAAGTAGACACTTAAGTGTTTAAAAAGTGTCCAAAATCTTTCATCAGATGAACCTGAATTTTGAGGCCAAAATCGGCCCTTACCGGACCTACTCCTTTAAGAAGTTTTCTATTTGTATGGAAAGAATAGCTTGGTAAATGAACTAACCTGTTAATTATTTAGCTTAATAGTAGTTACAGTTTTTATTTCATTTTTATTTTATTAAATATTTTGTTAAGAGACCAAATGACATAGAAGTTAAGAACTATGTTTCACCATTCAGCCTTCGACATGAGCAAAACCCTTACCGCAAAGTAAGATGCAAAACAATTCAAACAAGAAAACTAACAGCCTGATTTACGTTCAAAACTATAAAACAAAAACAAAAATGTGATAAACAGCATCAAACAACAACCACTGAATTCAAGGCTCCTGATTTTGATTTAAATGGTTTTATATCATTTTCTTAAATTTCATTATTTAAGTTTTTAAGATGTTATACAATTAACAATTTATTGTACAGTTGTCTAGTATGTTGTTAAACAGCTTTATCAATAAAGTATACAATTTTGCTTTTCAGTTGTTAAAAGGTTTATACAATTTACCAACCCTGGAGAGACTAGAAGTTCCCCAGTCTGGAAAGGAAGTTAGCTATGGTTTGTAAAATTAGAAAATGAAAAATATAAATTTAATATCACACAAGTCCACATATACAGTGGAAATCAAAGGTATGGTACAGTCAAACCTGAATTTAAAGGTAATCCTTGGAACCAGAGATAACTGACCTCATAAGAGAGGTGATATTTGGATTTAGGTTCAACATGCATTAAGGTATCACTGTGAGATGTAGAACATGAGGTATCACCGTGAGATGTAGAACATGAGGTATCACTGGGAGATGTAGAACATGAGGTATCACTGTGAGATGTAGAACATGAGGTATCACTGTGAGATGTAGAACATGAGGTATCACCGTGAGATGTAGAACATGAGGTATCACTGTGAGATGTAGAACATGAGATATCATCGTGAGATGTAGAACATGAGGTATCACCGTGAGATGTAGAACATGAGGTATCACTGTGATATGTAGAACATGAGGTATCACCGTGAGATGTAGAACATGAGGTATCACCGTGAGATGTAGAACATGAGGTATCACTGTGAGATGTAGAACATGAGGTATCACTGTGAGATGTAGAACATGCGGTATCACTGTGAGATGTAGAACATGAGGTATCACCGTGAGATGTAGAACATGAGGTATCACCGTGAGATGTAGAACATGAGGTATCACTGTGAGATGTAGAACAACTATAAAAGAGCTGTTCCTTAGCTATATAGTTTTGTCAATGGCATATACGGAGTCTGTGTGTTGAATTAATACAACTAATTCCTTCTTTTCAATTACTTCATCAATGAAAAATTATGTAAACAGTATAACAAAGACATCAAATATCGCAAATCCTAGTTCATTTTCCAGAAAAAGATCTTCAAATTAATGATGGTCTGCTTTGAACACTATGCTTCTTATTAGCAAATATGAATAGGTGGAACCATTCACTATGAAGGAATAGAGACAGTTTGATACCGTAATTAATTTTATTTCTGTTACTTAGTGGAGTTCTCCCTTTCCAGCTCCACTAAGGGGAGATAACATGTGATGACTTTTTTCATAACAAATTTTGTAATAAAATACAAAATGTTTAAATACTTCACCATAAACACATACAATTTTATTATCTATGCATGCTCCGTATCGAAGGACTCACTGTAACTTTGAGATGAAGAACAGCAATAAAAGCGCTGTTCCTTTGCTTTGTGTGTGTTTTTTGCTGTGCATGTACTGATTTGTGTCATGGATGGATACCCTATATCCTATGTTTTTCTATTATGATTTAATGAGTTAAAACAACATTCTTGATGACCTAAGATACCTTTTTACTATGCTAATAAGCATTGTATTTGCAATACAGTGAAAATCAAAGATAGAAAATACTACAAAAACAACTCAAATGATGAAAGTGAATGCAGATAGAGTGATTATTTGTCAAAGAGGGAGATTTTGACTTCCCTGGCAGGTGATAAGTCCAAGGAGGAAGATTTCAAATTTTTAAATGGAAAAGAGGTGGTTCCCCACCTAGAACTGATATGTTGGCAGATATGTATTCAACTCGATTTACACTGCTTCAGATATTAAGACATTGGGGAATGTATAGTTATGTATAAATAGCAAAGTTCTTATCTCAAGTTTTAAATAAATTATTATTTCTGATTTGGAAAAAGACAAACTGTTATTTCACTGTTTTATAAGCTGCTGTATCTTAAAAAAAAAACATTGATTGTATACAAAAGTTAAGTTATATTTTTTAATGTTACTACTGATATATAAGATTTTGTTTTATTACTTTTCAGCACACAAAACCAAACCAGAGATGACCTATATAGACTGGGAAAACCAAACAACAATGAGTATTGATAGACAATATAGAGCTTTACATGAAGATGTAAGAGTTTTCATGACCAAATAGTTTTAGCATGATGGTAGCTGCTTTTAAATTTTCCATTTATGATTATTCCAATTAGATTTTTTAGATCAAATCTGTATGACTTTAAGATTTTCAAATTAAGACTTTTACATTGAAATACTTTCTACATCAAGTCTGTTTAATTTAGTTTTCAAAATCAAGGCAAATTTAAATTTTTCTTATATAAAGCTTATTCAACTTTTACTTTGCCATCAAAGCAAAGGGATATCACCAATTACTTGCATTCTTATATTCATAATAATATGTTTACTGCAAATCAAGGAAAATTGAGAATAAGTTCAAAATTATTTTGTAGTTTCCACTGAAAAGTTATTATGGCAAAATTCTTGTCAAGTTAAGAAGTATGGTTCCTGTGACAGATCAGATAGGTAAAATATAGTTTTCTAACTGGACTGAACTATTTAAGATAAATATGAAAGAAACAACTAAATAGATAGATATTGCAGCACCAGCAATAAGAAATACATAATATAGTCTTCCCAAAAATATTGGTTCTACTACTGTAACAATGAAATTATATATTACTCAACACATAATGGCTAAAATGTGAAAGCTTGTTAAAATTGTTTTAAATATTTGAAATTTATTTGTAGAGAGTGGAAAAAAATTGCACTTGCAACAACATTTTATTTTACAAAATATTTACCTCAATTATTGTGTTTTATCATGGTTAGTATCATTTGAATTGTATTTAACACAAATAACAATAAAATGTGAATAATGATTATATCCTAGAACCTCTCACATTATTGTAAGGGGTTGAAATGTGCTGATAATGTCACAGTTTAAACTTTTTCTTTTTGTTCTGTAATGAAACATCAAAATCCAATCTGCCAGAATTTGCTAGAGTTGTCTCTCTTCTATTAGTTTTGTTGTAAGAGTTTATGTCATCAACTTGCTAATTGTATCTTTCCGAGAGTTATTGTATTTGATTCATCGTTTAAGAGGTTCTGAATGGGGGGTCCTTTATGTCTTTGCTCTTCAATTTTTAGGTCATTATTCTCTATTCTTTATATGTTTTTCCCATTGTTCTCTATTCTTTTTTTTTGCCTATTATTATCTATTCTATATTTTTTTACCCATTTTTCCTTATCTGGGCCTATTATTTACTATTCTGTAAATCCCAACCAGACCCTCTTCTATGTACAGTTTTATATTTTTCCCAATTTTGAATTTCATATACATGTGTATTCCAAACATACAAAAGTATTTTCACCTCTGGCTGATGCTTTTAACTTTTGTTTATAACATTTGTCTAGAGTGATTTTATTTCATTGCAGATGAAAGTATTTTGTATCACTATGGTAACACACACCACAATCTACCTCCAGGAACACCATGTTATGGGAGAAACAGTAAGATTTGTTGGATCAAGTGTAAGGTAGGTTATATCACTATGGTAACACACACCACAATCTACCTCCAAGAATACCATGTTATGGGAGAAACAGTAAGATTTGTTGGATCAAGTGTAAGGTAGGTTATATCACTATGGTAACACACACCACAATCTACCTCCAGGAACACCATTTTATGGGAGGAACAGTAAGATTTGTTGGATCAAGTGTAAGGTAGGTTATATCACTATGGTAACACACACCACAATCTACCTCCAGGAACACCATGTTATGGGAGGAACAGTAAGATTTGTTGGATCAAGTGTAAGGTAGGTTATATCACTATGGTAACACACACCACAATCTACCTCCAGGAACACCATGTTATGGGAGAAACAGTAAGATTTGTTGGATCAAGTGTAAGGTAGGTTATATCACTATGGTAACACACACCACAATCTACCTCCAGGAACACCATGTTATGGGAGAAACAGTAAGATTTGTTGGATCAAGTGTAAGGTAGGTTATATCACTATGGTAACACACACCACAATCTACCTCCAGAAATACCATGTTATGGGAGAAACTAAGATTTGTTGGATCAAGTGTAATGTAGGTTATATCACTATGGTAACACACACCACAATCTACCTCCAGGAACACCATGTTATGGGAGAAACAGTAAGATTTGTTGGATCAAGTGTAAGGTAGGTTATATCACTATGGTAACACACACCACAATCTACCTCCAGGAACACCATCTTATGGGAGGAACAGTAAGATTTGTTGGATCAAGTGTAAGGTAGGTTATATCACTATGGTAACACACACCACAATCTACCTCCAGGAACACCATGTTATGGGAGGAACAGTAAGATTTGTTGGATCAAGTGTAAGGTAGGTTATATCACTATGGTAACACACACCACAATCTACCTCCAGGAACACCATGTTATGGGAGAAACAGTAAGATTTGTTGGATCAAGTGTAAGGTAGGTTATATCACTATGGTAACACACACCACAATCTACCTCCAGGAACACCATGTTATGGGAGAAACAGTAAGATTTGTTGGATCAAGTGTAAGGTAGGTTATATCACTATGGTAACACACACCACAATCTACCTCCAGGAACACCATGTTATGGGAGAAACAGTAAGATTTGTTGTATCAAGTGTAAGGTAGGTTATATCACTATGGTAAAATGCATGACAATCCCCTCTCCATTTCAACCTTGTTTAGAGTTATTTTGATGTTATTGGCTGTAATGATAAGAGCATGAGTGATTTAGATTATTCAAGACATTAAATGTTATCAGGATTATATAGTACCAATATAAATGTATCCATAACTAGCAGGAGATGCTTACCACCCAGTCTACCATAAAACCATGCAAAACAGTCTTCAAGGGGGGGGGGGGGGGGGGGGGGTCATCAGATTTATTTGAAACTTTGTGTGCTTAAACAACATTATGAAAGAAGTCCATAAGAAAATATTTCAGCTGGTTCCCATGCCTTTCAGTTAGGAGATGCTGTAATGTACCGGGAACCAGTTTCCCCATGTTGGAGGCAGTATTTTTCTATGAAAATGACCAATTTCAACACCCTGAAACTTTTGAATGCAGAAAACAATGAGATAAAGAACGATGATCTATTGAATAATAAAGTGTTGAAGCTTTATTAACTCATCAGTACTTGAATTTACAAGAAACAGTTTGTGGATTATTCCCAGGGAGATAATCCATTAAAAAAAATATTTTCAGAAAATCATAAAAAGTATGTATTTTTAAAATTATCTAGCCTTTGGTCCATTAAAAATATAAAGATAACTCCCTATGTTTTATCAATTGGAATACTTAATTATGCATTTTAGCTAGTAAACTTGCTGGGGTCTCATTGAAGTACATTCTAAAATTCTAATTCTAAAAATGCCTAAATTTACATTTTCTCTCAATAAATTAATGAATTTAAGAAAAGTATTCTGTAGATAATTTTGGAAATGTAAGTGTTTCTTTTTCAAAAGCACTATAACATTTAACAAAATAAGTCAAAGTAACGATGACCATAGTTCAATTACAATTTATGATGCCATAAATATTGAATTTCTATGGTACAAAGGGAGATAATCCAGTAAAAATGCATTTTAAAAATCTTAAAATCACATTTTTTTAAACTTACCAGCTCTCTGTCCATTAAAATATAAACATATCTCTATTGGGTTATTTTAAGTGACGGAGTTAAGAACGCATTTTAGCATATACGATTGGTTGACTCTTGTTTTAGTACTTTTTAGAATTATCCTTGAATAATGTCCAAATTTACAATTTCTCTTACAGAATCAATGAATTTTAAATATCAATCTGTAGATAATTTTGGAAATATATGAATTTTACTTTTTTAAAACCTAGCGAAGCTTATTAGGGCCATCCATTTTTTATTTATTTTTTTTCAAATTGTCGACTTAAATCTTGGAATTATCAACTTTAATCTTGGAATTTCCAGCTTTAATCTTGGAATTTCCAACTTTAATCTTGGAATTATCAACTTTAATCTTGGAATTATCAACTTTAATCTTGGAATTATCAACATTAAACTTGGAGTTCCAACTTCAATGTTGATAATTCCAAGATAAAAGTTTTTATTAAAGTTGGAAATTCCAAGGTTAAAGTTAAATTTTTTTGGTAGTGGTGTGCTATGTTTGTCTAAAACAATGTACCTATTTTTATATAATATGAACTAATATTTGGTACCTTTATAATGTATAAAAATTGTGACCCGCCATGACATTTCCAGGCTCATGGAGGTAGAACCAGTGCAGATCCAGAGGAGGTTTTTTTATTTTGACGATCAATGCATTTGAATGGGGACATATAGTTGGAACCCCCCTTTATCCTGGGTTGGGAACCCCCCTTTTAAAAATGGCTGGATCAGCCCCTGAGAACGTCATTGTTAGAAAAATTATAAACATGATAAATATCGAGATTCAATGGAATACGTATTTGTGAAGAAGACATAAACACTTTCCTTGGTTTCTTTTTTGGGGACGCCGAACTATACATCATATATAAGTTTTGAAGAAGTTTTACTTTATCGTTTTAAGTGAAAAATATTTGAATCTACATTTTAAATTGATACAAAAAAAAAAAATTCTCTGCTCTATAGATTTTCTTTCATAAATGGAGTCTGAAATTTATCCATAATAAATGCACTGTATCAAATGCATATAAGAAAACACCTACTAATAAACTGTTACGCGTCACATACATTGTACTATGTATAGAGACATGCATAATAAATCTAAATTAAAAGACAAATTTAAAGAAAGGAATTCTTAAAGCTTTCTTTGACAAATTTTAAACTAACTTCATTTCAACAAATTTAAATTATATGTTCTAAAATAGAGCTACAAAAAAATCAAAATTCTCTGCTCTATAGATTTTCTTTCACAAATGGAGTCTGAAATATATCCATAATAAATGCACCGTATCAAATCATATATGAGAACACAAGTTTAAATTACATGTTCTATAATAGAGCTAAGAATTGTTTGTATTGTAGTAAATTTAATTCTTTGAATTTTATTCAAATACGCTATTGAACATTACTACAATGTACTAAGCGCCAATAAATACAATGATTTTGTTTTTATAAATTAGTGCCTTCAATAAATAAAAGTCGTCATAGAACAGTCTCATTTTCATACCGGTATTCGAAATGACTCGTTTCATTGCTATTACATGTGTACAACAAATATGTCATAATAACATGACAGAGAGTTTTGTTTCGAATATTCAAGATAAATATACAAAAAGTAAATTTTAGACAATGCACCCTCTTTAGCCTGGAAGTGGCTAGTCACATATAGTTTACCACGTTATTCTCACAATGACGTTCTACCTCCATAAATCTGGATATGTCATGGCTAGTAACATAATATAAATACACACAAAGAATGACCTTTACTTGTGTACAATATTTTAATGTAAATATAAAGTCCCTGATTGATTCAAATACCACAATTGGCCATTAATATAAGATTTCCATAACATATTGATAAAAGATATGTAGAACATACTCCAAATCAATATAAAATTATGAAAGAACTATGCATATCAATATAGAATGTCATTAAAAAGTAGTCATAAATATAAAATCTTGCAAAATTATGGCCAATATTTTTGGCATATCCACGTATACCCATTAAAAAATGTAGCCGAAAAAATAATTATAATTAGATTAAGTATACGGAGAAACACAATAAACTATGGACTAGAAGTGATATATCAGTCATTTTTAAGATAAAAGTTGATAATTCCAAGATTAAAGTTGGAATTTCCAAGTTTAATGTGGGAAATTCCAAGATTAAAGTTGATAATTCCAAGAGTTAAGTTGGAAATTCCAAGATTTAAGTTGATAATTCCAAGATTAATGCTGATAATTCCAAGATTAAAGATGATAATTCCAAGATTAAAGTTGATAATCCCAAGATAAAAGTTGATTATTCCAAGATTAAAGCTGATAATTCCCAGATTAAAGTTGATAATTCCAAGATTAATGTCGACAATTTGAAAAAAAATAAATAAAAAGGATGGCCCTAATACGCTTCCGTAAAAACCATTATTATACTTAACAATGTAAGTTAAACTAACAATGAAGATAATACAACTACAATAAATGAAGCCATAAATATCAATTTTCTATTGTACAAAAGGAGATAATTCAGTGAAAAATGCATTTTCTAAAATCTTTAAAAAGTATCTATTTTTTCTTCAAATTAAGCATTCTGCTCTTGATACATTATAACTGTTTTGATATTTCTTTTCTTTTCATAAAGTAAAATATAAAACAAAGCATACCAAGGTGTAATAAGTGATTGTTTAGACCAAAAAACTGATTATGATTTTTTTCTATGATTCTGTTGAAAAATGTCAAAATTTGCAATTTCTGAAAAAAATTAAAAAATCAATGTGTATATCCATGTTGTTTTAAAGTGGTTTTTAAAAGAGCATTATTTTAACAAAGTGTAGATAGCTAACACATTACA